CCACAAGCCTGTGGCTTTCAAATGTCTCCCGAGTGCTGATGTTTCCCAACTTATCTTCCGAGCCCTGACCTCTCTCCCCCGTTTAAGACTCTTCCCTGGAGACTCCAGAGCCCTGGGGGTGACGCGTGGGTGGGGTGGGCTGCTAACCGCAAGGTCAGCCGTTTGAAACTGGCGGCTGCTCTGCAGCAGGCAGACTGGGCTTTCTACTCCCATAAAGAGTGACCATCTCGGAAACCCACAGGGGCAGGTCCACCCTGTCCTAGAGGGTCACTCGCTAGGGGCTGACGTCGGCTCCTGGGCAGTGAGTTTGGTTTGGTAACTGGGACAGGGGGAGCAGATGCCAGTAGAGCCCTCATCTGCCCTCTACTGTATTCCTTTGACCTTGACTGGGTCTAGGGTAGATGGTGGTTGGTCGTCTGTGAACTGGCTTCCGCCCAAGGTGACCGCACGCCCGATGGAAGTGGCCTGGTCTTGTGCTGGCTGTATCCCCGATTCTTGGTGTGAACCAGTGCTGTGGGCGGCACCCCACAGGGGCCACCTGACAGCCTTGCCGTGTTATGTCCCCCGCGACTCATGACCCCGTGACTCATGTGTGGGTCAGAGTTCCCCCACGCCAGTGTGCCTCTGGCAGAAGTTGACCCCGACCCAGAGTGGGCCCCAGAGGATGCAATGGAGCTGTCCCCCGACTCCCCACCCCCGTGGGGTTTCTGAGGCTGTCAATCACAACCGGGATCCTGACAGCCTCATCTTCCCCACACCTGGAACTGTGGCCGCTGGGTCGGAGCCTCTGAACCTGTGGTGTGGTTAGCTTAACCCGTTGAGCCACCAGGGCTGCTTAGCTGGGGACAGGGAGACCATCGGTAAATAGTTCTTGAATATTAGTGGAGTGGGGGTGAGGTAGCATGCGAGTACACCTGCCCCCGTGTGTCTGGGCTTCCACCGTGGACCACCAGGAGAACAGACACACTTCTTCGGAGACCAGACTTGTTTGTTCCTTGGAAGCAAGGGTGGTGGGGCTTGGTCTCATTAACTTTGGAATCGTCATGGGAGTGGGGGGTGTCCCTGGAGAGGGACACCCTGCCCGGTACAGTGGAGGGTCAGAGGGAGAGAGGAAGACCCTCCAGGTGGCCAGGGTCATGAGGATGGGGCGGGACTGGGCGGTGATGTGTTCGCCTGGAAGTTGGGCTGCTGAGTTGGGTAACCTAACAGCTGCGACCACTGCCTCTTTGAGGGGTGTGCCCATGCGCACCTTCTATCTAGCAGACCTTTCTCCTGAGGGGCGTGTCTCCTTGTCAATCTCTCTCTCGGGTCTCATGTCTCTGGGTCCTCTTCCTGTATCTCTGACTCTTTCCCCATGTCTTCGAGTGCACACCCTCTGACGTCCTCCCGTTTCCTCCGTGCTCTCTCGTCCTCCTGCCCACCCTTCTTCCTCAGTGGTTGGCCTTTGGGCTCATGACCCCTTACCCTTGAAACGAGCCTGTCTCCCGCCACCATCACCAAAGTGACCTTTCTCTGCCCTCCCCTGACTCCCTTTGCCCTCACCCCCACTCCCTCAGTGGTGCAGCAGAAGCAGCCTGGCCTGAACCAGATGGACTTACCGATTTCTACAATGGTGCAAGCCATTTCTTGAAACCGCTTTCTCAGCTTCCAAGTGGGAGACCACGGTCTCCACT